GGGCGGGGGGTGGGAGTTGGTTTTTAATTTTTTTAATTTTTTTCCAAATTTTGTTCTATTGTACTTTACTAATTTATTTGATTCTTTTTGTTAGTTTTTAATTGTTTTTTTTTTTGTTTTAAATATGGTTTTACATTGTGTAAACCGCCTCGAGTCGCCATAGGCAAATAGGCAGCAATATAAATTAAATAAATAAAATAAATAAAAATTGGAATCTCTGCTAGCAGTCACCTGATTCCCTTTACATCAGGTGATGAGGACTTACAAAAGAAGAGAGAATTGTAGCTAGTAGTTCAATACTGAGACAGCAAATCTACGAGACCTCACATCTTAATGTTACTGACATTGAGAAACATTGCAGAAGTGTCCCAGCATAAATGTCCATGTATGGTGGTCAAGTGACAAATGTGGCACAATATCTTAATGTACATTTTGTCCCTTATGTGCCACGTTGGAACACAACTACTAAAAGATATTACTTCAAATGTCGCAATGCATATCTCAACATCGTGTCAATATCATGGTTAGGTCCCACCCTACCCAGCAGTCATTTCAGAACAAAAATAGCTGGCTAGGCAGGATTTGATTTTTGCTTGTAACATAAACAAAAGCATAAACCATAGTTTGCAAGCCGCAGTGGTTAGGTTCCACATCACATTAACTTACAAGCAAAACAAATCACATCCAGAGTTAGACTGAAAATTAGATTAGGTAATGGGTAATCCAGAGGGTGGAATGTTTCATTCTAACAAAAATGTCCAGATGTCGACTGCTCTGCTACCCCAAAGTGTGAGGCGTCCAGCTTATTATGCTATACAAGTGAGAGGTGCATTAGGACTGGATCTTGCTCCTCCTATAAACAGGGTTTGCATTTTGCATTTGGCAGCTGCTGGATTTCTTCAGTGACAATCAGCTTAACTAATCAGGCAGCTACAACTGCAAAGCTTCCAGTTCCAGCATTAACTGGTGAAACCTAATTACCAATAAAGGAGAATATTTGTAGCTCACGGTTGAAATGAAGAGTTGTGGGTGCTCTCTGAGCTTGGTTGTTCTTAGCATGGTTGAATCCAGATTTAGTATTGCATAGAGGAGGCTGCTTTCTTTTTATGAACATAAAAAGTGGGACAATGGAACGCCTGATTATGTTCTCAATTTTATTCCTTAGAAAACTTCTGAACTATCTTCAGATACTTTGAAGCACAAACAGGCTGTATACTTGAGAGCATTTGAACTAGAAGAAATTGTTTTATTTGCCAACATATTTAAAGGACAAGATGAAAGATTACTTTAGGATCTCTATTAGAGACCCTAATATTAGAAAAATCTATTAGAGATTTTTCTATTTTTTTTTAAACCCAAAGATACCCAGGATTAAACTGAGGCTGTGTATATTCTATAGAGGAACTATGTTTCCTGTCAATAAAGTTTAAGCCAAGTTTAGAGATTGGTTAATATAATAATATAGCATTAGGAATTATGAATCTCTGATCTTCATTTTTTTCTTAGATAAAAACGAAGGTCATTTAATGAAATTTAATGTGGAGGGAATTTATCTCCTTAAAAAAGCCATTCATGTGTATCATGTGTATCTCCTTAAAAAAGCCATTCATGCTATCAGCAAATACTATACGGTACGTATACGGTACGTATACTTTAAATAAAATTTGGGATGATATTTAGTTACTTTTCAGGAATAATGGTATTTTACTTCAGAATTTCTGTTACATCAATTGATCAAAAATCTATAGCGGTTCAATGTACATTTTACCATCCTTTCACAGGGTGTGGAAGAATTTTTTTAAAATAAAATCATTGCTGCTAATTCAACCATTTATCATTATATGCAAAAATATTGCTTGATGAGAATATTATAGACGGTGCATGTTTTTGACATTAGCATTTTATTTGGATGACTAATCTTGCAGATGTGAAATTTGAATGAATTATTCATGAAAATGCTTTTCTCTGAAAATTTAGTTCTCGCTAATGCTAGTTATTAAGCATTTTTTATTTTCCTTGATAGAGAAAATAAAAGTATGCTTATGCAAGAGAGGAGAGGGGAGTTTCATAATCCCTCCTTAAGATGTGTGTAAAGGGATGATGTTCTGAAACACCTTTAAGGAAAGCTGGTATGCCAATCAAAAGTTTTCTGAAGCTATTTCCCTTCTAAGTGAAAAATGAAGCATATCAGACTTGCATTGTTTATGTCCAACTGTCTTATCTCAAAGGTACTGAAATCAGTGGAACTGCTGAGAATACACAGCATGACTCTTGAAGTTCATTAATCTGAACAGACTGTAGAAAACTCCAAAATGCATAATCAGAAAGAATTAGCTTATTTGCATTATCATTCACATGGCTTATAGTGGCCAAGACAACTTTCCTCCCTTCAGTACATGAATCGTTCTGACTTGGGGAACGTAAGTTGTGTGAGAAAAGTAAAATGAAAATAAAGTCTAGAGATGTTCATCCATTAGTGTGACCCTGTTGTGCACTTTCTTCCACATGTGGTGTTATTGTTCTTCTGGATACTTACTTTTCTGGATATCTTACTTTTTTCAGTTTAAATCCCTTATGTATTCACAAAGCTAACTCTTGACTGTTGGTGCATTACACTGAGAAATGGTGCTTCTACCATTAGAATTCTTTTGCTAAGAGAAACATCTCTAAGCAGCAGGGTTTCTATGCACACTGAATGCTGTACTTAGAACCTTTTAATTAAAAACGAGCAAGATAAGGAAGCATCTGCAACACACAGTACGAGTCCCAAAGTTTCACATCCCCTAAGCTCAATTCTTGTCTGCTGTATGGATTGTTCACAGGTGGATTGCTTCATCCTTCTTCAGAGAAATTGAAATGTTACCATGCATCTTTGAAGACTAGAGAGGCTGGTATGGAACAATCTCATTGGTTTACATTTTGATTAATGGGTACTTTCTGACTAGTTCTGCTCCCTAATAGCATTTTTGTAAGAATATTCACAGCACACTAACATCCAAATATGTCCACCTGCTCATAAAAACAGGATAACTAAACTAAAATTGACTCGATAGCTCTTAACCAATCAATCAAATGACCAAAAATAATTTTTCAGTTGCTATTGTAAATGACAATGCACTAGTGAGTTGAGATTTACCACAAAGTAAAATGGTAAGTTATTGTCCAAATGACTTTGTTAATTGTCTTAACAATTAATTAAGACAATTAACATGCTCTGGCATCATTTATTGCAGTTTCTTAAAATTTATTTTCTCTCTCCCTTTTTCCACTTCTAAAAATTATGAAGGACCCCCAAAGAGCCTTTTCTTGTATGGGTTATGCATATAGGTTAATTTTAACTTATTAAAAAATATAATTGACCCATTTGCTGCCGCTACCACTTTTTACAAGGTTTTGATGGGATTTTAATTGTATGGTTTTTCAATATAAGCAGGCAAATAATTTTGATTTTTGACCACACCCCTAGGGTTCTAGGATCATAATTTAAGAGACACCAATCTATTGTATTTCTTTCTATTTAGTAAGCACCGTGAATTCTGTAAGGTTATCACCAATTTATCTTGTAGTTACTTAACAGAACGACTCAGTTGTTAAGGTAATAGGTCTGTTCTGGTTACTATTTTGAACAGTGATTGGCTGATGATCCTGGAAGGCAACTTATGTCACTAGTGAGGAAGTGACCATTAAACATCTGTAGGGTGTCTGCTGAGAAAAACCTACAGGTAGAGTCAGACTTATGTGAAGTGGACGTATTGTATCTGTATATAAGGGGGAAGCAAGAACACGTAGCCCATGGCAACATGTATCACCAGTGTGAACAACCAGCACTTTATTGCATTAGAGAATGCTATAATGTCAGTAATAAGTACTGACTACATAACATTTTATTGTCTGCATCAACAGACATGGAATGATGGAATTACAGTTGATGTAAGGAATGAGTTTCTTGTATGCCTAAAAATAAAAGGAGAATCTCATTACTGGCAGCACATACACATGAAGCACCATGCTAACAGTCTGACTGTACCATTTTCATCAAGGCTTATATAGGAGATAGTCTGTTACCTACATTGGATTTGTGGAAAAATGTAGACTAGACCAGCAAATGCAATTTTGAAGACTGAAGAATGAGGAATTGTTTCTGGAACATCTAAAAACTCTTGAGTCTGTTAACCAAAAATGTACCAAAAGCTCTCCAAGAGTTTAAAACACATTCTCCCTGTTATAAGGAATGTAGCTTGTCAGTATTCTGAAAACTACAATACTTCAAAATTATTTGTTTAAAAACTTTGAGATATATATATATATATATTTATATATAAAAAATATCTAATGATCTGTATTACTTGAAGAATAATACAATTTATTCATTTCCCCCCTACCCCTGATCATGGATATTATGGTTGGAATCTCCTAAAGGAGATTTCCATCCCCTTTCAACCCACTCCTCCCCGCCAAAAATCTTTAAGCATGGGCCTCGATTCTCTTCCTCCTCTTTTCTTCTACTTTTGGTAGAAAACAGAAATCCGGTTAAGTATGAAGCATTTGAACTGCACTGTTCTAATCCAAGGAAAGGACGGTCTTTGTAGAACATGAGATGCCTGCTTGTAGGCGAAAAAGTTATTTGGGAGGAGCCACCAGGACTAACCCTAGAGATTGGAATCAGTTTTTCCCTGCCATCTGGAGATCGACAAATAGAGCAGGAGTCTGCAAATCTGCTGCCTATTTGGTATCCACCTGGTCAGGAAAACCTTTCTGCCTCCTGGGCTGCAGCAGGAGACCCACACCTAATAAAGGCAGCCTGACCAAGGTCAGGGAGGGCAAAGAAAGAAGGCCCAACCAGCCCAGAAAAGGCTGTAGGATGATAAGGTAGGCTTTGACTCATTCCCAACAGCAGCTTCACCTGATATATGTGGTACTTCATTTATCGTGTTTGCTTTTCTGAGGGAAAAGGAAAACAAAAACAGAACCCATGTAACAAACTGTCTTTACATCTTGGCACCTTGTAAAGTATTTCATTTTATACAAAAGTTCAATATTTTTGACACTTTTCCATTATCAATCACCACTTCACTGATAAGCTTTGAAAGTGTGACCTTGGAAAAATCATCATGCAAAATATTTACTGCAGCAGGAAAGAAACAACTTTTGAAACTCTCTTTTCTTCTTTTTTCCTTAAGGTTGCCGAAGTAGGCAGAGATGGGGATAACAAGAGGCAGAGAAAGGGTTTAAAGAACAAATAGCGTGAGAGCAACAAAACAAAAAACAAAATAAAGCAATAATAAAAAAAAACACAAAATCTCTGAAACAAACTTATACAAACATGATTTGATCTGTGACGGAGGGAAGGGGGGGAATTACTAAATTAAAAACAAAGAAATTGGGATTTTTCTCCCACATGTCAGCAAATGGCATCCACAGTCTTAAAGCAAGGGTAACTAAATGAAATACATGTGCAGCATATTCTGCAATTCCATTACATACAGTAGGTTTTTTCCCCCCAAAAGCATTTGTCAAAGTATGGTTAATATAAAGCAGTTGCACAAAAAGCAAAAGGTGTTTTGACAAACAGCTGCATTAATTCCTTTGGAGGAATGTTTGTTTGTTTTTTTTTAAAAAAAGAGGACCGACTTCCCCCCTTTTCCTGTTTTCCCTTGACAACCCACCCCCACCCGCCAAAAGACAAAACGGGATCACAAGAGACACATTGGGCTATATATGTACAACATAATAAACCCGAGCCCAGAGGAACCATTGTTATGATCCAAAGGGATGCAGAATCTGAAATTTGTAAAAAATAGTGTAGTTTGCTTGATGTAAAGCCTGAGATCTCCTCTTGGTTCTTCTGCAGGGCAGTGATACCTGCAAGGTATGGTAGGTATTTTTTTTTTAAAAAAAATCTTTTCTTTTTTTTAAATTTTGCTACAGTCTTTAGTCTATGCATGCAAGACATACAACTAAGTGCAACTGAGTGAAATGTAGTTTTTTTTTTTACTCATTCCCTAACAGTTTGAACTGAGGTATGCGTACTAACAGTTTCTCATGCTGTTATCTTTACTCATGTCTAGCTACACATGCTGAGAATGAACTAAACTACCAGATTTTTATCCCCTTCTGAATACCAAGTTAACCAGCAAAACCACTCAGTTTTGAACCAAAGGGACAGGTATTTTTTTTTTTATTATGTCCTGGTTATGGCCTGCACATTATAGAGCTGCCTGAATATGGTGTGTTTCAGAACATATCAAATGACTTACATACTGGCCTCCTTTAAAAAAAAAGAAGTCGGGGGAAAAAAAAGGCAAGCTTTACATATTTCTCTGTTGGCAAAAAAAGGAGGAAAAGAAAACTAAAAACGAATTGCTATTTTGAAATTAATGGCAAATCCCCCTCCTCCATTGGCCTGAATGGTACGAAGGGTTGGAAAGGAATAGGGATGTTACCATACTACCAAAAAAAAAAAAAAGAAAGAAAGAAACCCTGAAACGAAATGGGATGGGCAGAGACCAACACAACCATCACCACAGTCATTCTCAAATCTTGGGCCCAGGTAAGCAAAGTTAAAAAATAAATTGCCCTGGCATTGGCTTTTAGCAAAAGTGAATAGGTCAAACCCCAAACGAAAGCATACCAACAATTTCTTCAGTAATTATGGTATGGTTTAGTTTCAGTCATGAGTGCTCTTTTGTATTTCATGTAAACTCTCTCTGATTCAAGTCATTCTAGTCCCCCCCCCCCCCCCCCCCCGGAAAAATCAGTTCTCCTCCTATACCCTCAATGTCAAATGGTGCCCTTCTCAAGGTCTCATTCTCTAACTTAAGCCTAAAAAGCTCTCTCTTTACAGAAATAGTTTTGGTCACTGTAAAGAAAAAAACAAAAACAAATCAAAACGACAACAGCAAAAACTTTGGTTCAGCCATCTACTTGGTCTTCTAAATTATACTTTAATAAAGGAGTTTTCCTTCTCAGGTTAGCTGTAGCCCATTATTTTGTCATTTGCTTTGTAATTCTTTAACCTCCTTTGATCAACAATAAGAGGATATTTGGCTTTCATAAGATAAAGCATATAACAGAGAACATAATTTACTTTGTGTAATATCTTTGGTAACTTTAGGGGAGAAAGGTACAAAGTAGAATATAAATTAGGATCAGAAAGACTTCTGAAATTAAAAGCTATAGTCCGACATAAATGAGTTAATTACTGAAAAGTGGTTAGAGAATGAAGTCACTAGAAGTTTGGTGATCAAGGGGTACCAACATTGGAACTGCAGCTGTCTGCCCACTCTTGCTCTGAAGGAAGACTGTTGTCGGCATCAGAGCTGGTTTATCCACAGATTACATCAGACTGTTCGTTTTTTATACTGGTTGGTGTGATATTGTGTAACGATCTTATCTGCAATGGCAAAACTACTAACACTTAACAACTAATGGGCCTTATTGCCTTCCCAATGAGTTGAATGCAACAACTTAAACTGATGGATGCCACCAATTAAATCTCAAACAACTTAACTTGGAAGAACCACTACGATGAGGCATGTGGGCAAATAAGAATCTAATAGTACATGTGCCAACATACTTCAGAAATATTTGATTGGCCCAGGAACTTATTTTAAAAAGTTAAATGCACAAAAGCCTTACACAGTTATACTTCTCTTTGACAATATCTGTAGGGTGTGCACTTTCTGAAAGGGCTGTTAATGTCTCCCTAAATATTCGTAATTGCTGCAAATAAGGAAAAACCAACGGGGGAGGGGGGAGGGGGGAGGGGGAACCCACAAGCAATGGTTTTATGTGCATGTGTATACACACATGTACACACAAACATAGACACTCTGTGGAATGACTTTAGAACCACATTCTACGGCTCTGACGCTGGTTTGTTCACTCTTGAATTACTGCCTGTCTTTCTGTTGTGTTTGCACAGGTCACAGCAGCATTTTAGAACTTTTTCCAGAGTCGTGTGTGTGTGTGTGTGTGTGTGTGTGTGTAAGGGGGGGGGCATATAGTCCAAAATGGAATGTTTTCCATAGCTAAAGGAAACATAATGGCATCTGAAGGAAATTTGGAATGGATGGCAGAAAAAGAACTACAAACAATTCAAAGAACATTCAGCTTTGTATAATAAACACACCTATTAACATTCATCACAGAAGTACAGAAAACATTAAGCCTCAAAAGGCCCTGGCCAATTGAGGCCTGAGGTCAGAACTTAAAAAGGTATAGGAGAACTAGGAGAAAAAAGAATTAAAGCTATACACTAAAAAAAGAGGGTTTTGTTTCTTTTAACCCTTAAGTATACATACACACACACGCACACACACACACTCAAAAAGATTTCCCCATCCCAAATGGAAGCCAAAAAAAAAAAAAGTAAAGGCAGTGATAATCAACATGCGATACTGTGCAAATATATTGTCCACTGAAATCCTTAAAATCTGGGTAAAGGCTTGATCTGCAATTGATGTGTACATGCTCAGCTTCATGTCTTCAGTGTCCCATAGTGGAAGATCTGCAGTCCAAAGTCTGCTGCCAAGTTGTGAATAAGGGAATTAGTGGAACACATTTACAACACTGATGTTGACTGTGAGTAGGAATTCCGAGTACCAAACAAATCCATCCAATGCACAGAGTACAAATTCCTTTGCTTTGTTTTTCAACAAAAAGTAGAAAAATCAAAAATACTCCCAAATGGGATACTTGATGGCACTAAGTGTTAACATATTTTATAGCAGTCAGAATGGACCGAGTGTATCTTCCAGACTGTACAATGGCGGGGAGAGATTTCACAGCTAATTCTGAAAGATAAGGGTTTTTGTTTTGTTTTTTTGCTCCTCCCCAGGATCTTCATTTGCAGAATGAAAAGTCACAGACATTTTTATTCAATGTCTTCATTTACGTGTTCATTTTCATAATCTCTGTCGTGATCAAATTCCGGACTGTGATTAGCTGTGGTGACTAAGGAGAGTGGGCCTTCATTTTCATCTGGATCTAATGGCTCTTCTTTGACATGCACAGGGTGTCTGAAAAAACAACAACAGACAAATATATACACAAACAGAAAAAGGATGGATGAGCAATTCATCCTGTTTTTTTTAAAACCTGTTTAGGTTAAAACAATTCAAATATATTGAACACTGCATACTAAAAAACTATTGACCTCTGTATTAGGAAAGTCAAGGATTTTTCTAATGATTTCATAGAGATAACCTCATGTTTTGTTTTGTTTTTGCCAACAATAGAAAAGAGCTGTGTACTAGCTTCAGGTTTTCTTTTAAATTCCCAATACGTCCTTGGTGTTCTGAAAAGGTGTTTCATCTGAGTGCTAACCAGGCCTGACTCTACTTAGGTCATCAGTCAGGCACGGTCAGCCAGGTGCTGCCACCTGGTGAGACACCTATGATCTTAGTGAATTAAGATTCTGTCTTTTAAATATGTTTGAGAACTTGAAAATACAGTCTCTCCAGCAAAGCGATAAAGGTATTGATTCAAGCAGAACAATAAAAAGAGTAAACCTTCTACATTACTTGAAATCCCTCCTCATTATAGTTGTTATAGAATACATGTCTATGGAGATTCTCAATCATCATGGTTGTCTTCAAAAGGCAACTGGACTTTCTTGTTTTCCCCACCTTGAAAACATTTTGCTTCTCATCCAAGAAGCATCCCCAGTTCAGTTGTAGAATACAGTTTCTTTCCACCCACCCACCCCATTTGTCATATGTACAGTTCACACTCTGAAACTTAGCCTGGTTGCAAATAATGGAACACTTTGATTGTGTAAGAATACTTGGGCTTCAAAAGAGAAAAACAGCAAGTGCTGTAGCTCAAGGTTTCTTCTTGGGATTCGGAGAAAATGTTCTTTAAGTGACACACTAGCTTGATGAATACAATCTTCAGATAAATAAATGAAATAAGCATCTGTAAAGGAAACCCATGGTTTATCAGCTTACTGAGCTTCTGGAGGCTGGGCTAATCATCGGTTACTGTGTGTTCTGCTTTTCTAGTTAACATGCATAACCTGTGAAAGAAGCCTCCAGAGGACGACCTCAAGTGGGGTCTATCATTAATCAACTTCAAGCAAACACAGCAAAGAGACACCATGATACATGCTTTAAACTCCAAATTAATGCATATTTTTACAAACTGTCAATAAGGAAAGAAAAGCCCTGCCAGGAAACACAAACGGAGAGGAAAAGGCTCGCTCAACACAACAATATGATATGAAAGCAGAGTCCTAATGAGAATAATAACGCTGTCAGCTGTAAACAAGGCAGAACATGATCCTCAGCTCATGGTGGGCACTAAGGATGCACTAAGCAGATGAGATCTGCCAAATTTCTCATTACAGAATAGCGTATGAATAACCCACAAGGGATCAAGGGTTGATTATACAAAATGGGCATGATAACATTTGAAAAATGTTGTCCGTAAATCATATTCATAACAAACCCCTGTACAAATACAAATTACCTTCCCCTTGTTTTATTGTTTGGGGGGCTTTTGATATGTAAAAATGTCCCTGCCAGTAAGCGGTGTCCCCCTTAAGAGACTTTATGAAAGGAGGCTTGATTTTATTTGCAATACCATGTAAATAATTATAACATGATCCCCCAAAAGCGGATTTGTTTTGTAAATACCCATTACCTGCAACATTAGGTATTTTTGTCAATCAAAACTAACTCTATTAAGTTAAAGAAAAAAATATATTGTATGAAGTTTCATTTCCAAGAGGTTTGCAAGAGTTACACATTCCGAGTGGAAATGAAGAGAGAGTCTCTCCCGAAACAATTTTTTATGACCAAGAGAAAGCCACATCTGGAGGTCAAAAATCAGCTTCTCCCTGGGATAGTTATTTGTATTGCAATTGTAAAATAAGAGTGAACTGGGTCATGTCTTAGCACTACTATTTTGATTTGTGCATTTCAGTGTTTCTATCATTTATAGGTGATTGTTTTGAAAGACTCCAGATGCACACTGACTCCTACCAAGGTAGAATCTTTTTCAAATAATTCTCTCAGTATAATCTCTTGAATTATACTTGAATTGAACTCCAGGGTGACAGTATAGGTACAGAAAGTGAAACTATACAGCGGAAGAACAATTTATAGAGTACTGAGGAGTGTTACTTGCACTCTCTTTTTATGGGACATGAAAACCATGAAACTCTTATTTTATAAGCATGAAAAGGCATGAATCCCTAATGTTTATTAGTAGCATGCAAGAACAATCTTCTGATTAAAAAATTAGTAACCAAAGCAGTCATATTAGCTGACATGTAACATATGTTTAATTCTCTATATCCTTCTGGGTTGTTTCACTGAACTTTTTTCTCTGCTACAAGAAAGATGCGATGACATTTAGAAAATATGAAACCAAGGGATGGGTCACTACTGTCCATTAGGCAAACAATTTTCAGCACTTTTGAAAATTCTATGACACCTTACATTATAAAAATATTGCTTTCTCGGTGGCTTCCCTTTTTTTTTTTTTTAACTTATTCTCCTTGGATTCTGTTAGAAGTTTTGCACATCGTAGTTCTAGATTTGAAAAAGACACAAAGGAGGAGGGGGGGGGGGGACAGAGACACTTAGAATTTCTCTGTGGGAACTTTTGAGGAGAATTCTTAGACAGCGTTTTCACGCTTTCAACCTTGAAGAAAAGGGATTCCTCCTCAGTCGTTGCTCAAAACATCAGAAAATAAAAGTTTTCGGGTCTCCGCCTAGCTCAAACAACCTTCAGGTTAAACCTCCACATTTTAAATGGTGCCTCAATTAAGTCTTGGAGAACTTTAATATCCTTACCCAAGAGCTCCATTAGTATCTAACTTGTAGTAATAACGAATCCTTGAAGCAACAACACTCCAAACCGTGGTTCCACAAGGTCTGTATTAATGCTAAAAAAAGCTCGTTGCCAAACTTATGTACCCAATATTACCCTGGCACCTTCAACAGAAGAGATGCTACAAACAATTGCTGACACACAAGAAAAAGGAAGCCATGAAAAAAGCCTGGGTATTATTCATTCATGTAGTCAAATCCAATGATTCACTCTCATTTTGGCATATCACATCAAACTCCCAAAGCAATGGTCCATCCATGATGGACTGTCACATGCCCCCAGGGATCTGGGAAGCATACTTTCATGATTTCATGGATCCCTGTGGATGCCCTAGTCAAACTATAGAAAATCTCCTAATGTGGGCACCAACAACAGTGACAAGTATTGGCTTGTTTAGTAGCTATATTAACAAGTCAAGTTTGTGATAAAGGCCTGATCTGTTTCACTGCACTGCAACAGTTAAAACAATTTAATTTATGGGAAGGGTATTCCATTAAGGAAAATAAGAATATCATTGTAAAGGGTGCTCAACAGGAATCTGAAAGTAGAGACAGTAAATAACAGCCTGCACTGAACACTAGAATATTATAGTTATCTACCCGGAAACACAAACTTTCTAACTGTTGAAAGAAATGCTAGCATGTGCCCTTGTAAATAAGTGCCCAGGCACAAGGCAGACAGAGAAATATGGAGTATTTCTGGGAAATAAAATGCCTTACTCTTGAAAAATTCCAACAACTTAACATTTCTACTAGTATTGTATTCTTGGAATGGGAAGAACAAAAATATTTGCGACTGAAAATGCCTAAAGAGAAAACATTCAAGCAGTGCTAAAATAATGTCATGTTAGGCTACTTTGGGAATGCTAATTAATAAACACTGCACAAATAATCTCTATAAAGCTTAAATCTGTTCCAATGTTTTGAAGGTAAAAGACAATGTTAAAATTAATTATCAAAAGTGAGTATTGCCTTCTTTAAAGCTTTTTTCTCAAAGCAAAATGAACACTTATTTGAAATATCAAAGTAACAAGAATCTTAGATATTTTTTTCTCCTCAACCCCCTGCCCCAAAATTTTTGCAGGTAGGAAACTTGTTATAAATAATTAAATGCTAATTATCTTCACAATTAATAATTAGACTAGCTTCAGGTTAATTTTTCCTACCTTTTGATTTAGAACTTTTAACATACAGCTCGTTCACTACAGCTAATAAAAGCCCTATTAAAAGGAACAAAATAGGGCTGGCAACTGACTGAATTGTAACTCCAAAGTCTTGCCAAAAATTGTTTTGCTGGCATGAGACAGACAGACAGAAACTTTATTTCAGTCATTGACCAATAAAAGTACGTTCAATAAAACAAACAACACAAAACTATTTCCTAACAATAAAAACTATTGGCAATAAAAACTATTGTAGAAGAAGCTTAAACCTAATGAAGCAGAACTTTGCTATTTTTAGATAAATAAATTTATGTTGATTATTTAATAAATTAAATGCAAAAAAAGATTATCAGACTACTTCAGAAATTTGAATGCACTTCTGCTGACTGCCAGCAGTTTGATTCTTACTGGCTCAAGGTTTGACTCAGCCTTCCCTTCTTCCGAGGTCAGTAAAATAGGGACCCAGATTGTCGGGGGCAATAGGCTGATGGCTGTAAACCGCTAAGAGAAGTCTGTTAAGCACTGTGAAATGGTATATAAGTCTAAGTGCTATTGCCATTCTGAATTTGAAATGTTGTATTTCAAATTTGAAATATTGGAAATAGTTTATTTCAACAATTTGCCACGTTTCAATTATAAAAATGCCCTGTTTTGAGGATAACACAGTGGTTTCCAATCTGAAATGGAACATTTTAAATGTAAAGCAATTCAAATTTTGAATGATTTGCACTCTACTACTATAAAGCTCCTAAGCTGTAGAACTAGTTGCTTTTACTTGAAAGAACCTGATACATTCCAATTTCCCCATTTTTCTAGTGGTGAATTTTTCTGCACATGTTGTGCTATCCATTTTGGAAGAGAAAGTTTGAAGCCAAGTGTACTTTTGCCATAAAACAGTACCATGTATTATTGTTCTCAGCCACATGTTTTTTGGAATTCACCACAAAGTCTTATGAGCTTTTGGATATTTCCTGTTACTGTTTAAATGGAATTCAATTTTGAAAAAACCAAACTACTTAAACTGGCAATGTCACTGACAAAAATACATTCCAAGATCCTACCTATGTCCCAGAAATTGGCCAAGAAGACATGGTAGGGTCCCAATCAACTTTATTTTGAGATCTCACTTCAAGAAACCACTTGGTGCATTGACTGGTCTCTGGTATGTGTTCAGTAAGGAACATACTGGTAGTCCTTGACTTACAACCACAGTTGGGATTGGAACATCACTTGCTAAACAAGGCAGTCATTAGATGAACAGAACCCAATGTTATGACCTTTTTGTCATGGTCATTAAGCTAATCTGGCTTCCCCCATTGACTTTGCTTATTGGAAGCGCAGTGGGAAGATTGCAAATGGCAATCACTGACACTGTCATAAAAACATGCAACAGGGATGCTGTGACATTCCTAAGTGTGATCATAAATCACTTTTCAATTCTGTCATAACTTCAAACACTTGTTAATTGTATGATTGTAAGTTAAGGACTACCTATACATTACCAACAGTATGTGACGTTTCCTCTTGATCTCTATGTAGCTTGAACTGGTGCATGAGAGGGCTTTGGTAAGCAGCACCCAAATGTTTGTGAAAGAGAGTAAGCATTTAAGGAGAAACACACTGTTGACTATTGTGAGAATCTGTATGTCCATGCTATGTAGTTGAAAAACACCCCCACTTCCAAAAAAACCTTAAATGTTGTCTGAATTTAAAGAGTTGCTACAGAAAAAATAAACAGAAAATATGGCAACAAGACATTTTTATGGTTTGTCCCTCATATTTTCTATACTCAAAATAAAATCTTCTCTTACCAAGGAAACTCATTATAGCTACTAAAGGCCCCCATGAGGGAATGTAGTAAGGAGGTAGATTCCTAGGAGTGAGGAGGTGCAATCCAGAGGAGTAAAAGGCAACTCAATCCAGATATAACATGTGAGAAAAAGAGGGTGAAGATAGCCACTCCTTAATAGTTCCCAGAGTATATTGTAGATACAGATGGTAGAGTGCTCTATCTGGCAAGATTTTGTCTATATGTGTAAAGCTATAAAGAACTCAGCTTGGCAAATTCACCACATGTCATTCTTGGTTTTGACAGTCAGTAATGGAACTTCATGTTAAATAAGTGGAACTGAAGGATGGATTATAAGGCCTTTTCTCTTCCCTTCCCTTTTAAAAAGAAATGTATGAAATGCTTTATTGTTATCCCATGGTGTTGGAAGCAAAGGACAAAATGGCAAACTGGATAGCCAATATGATTCTAGATCGGGGGTGTCAAACTCAATTTCATTTAGGGCCGCATCAGGGATGTGTTTGACCTCAGGGAATTGGGAGCATGGCCAACTCCATGTCATTCGTCGAGGCTCCGTTTTTTGCCCCAATGGCCTCCTGGAGCCCTCTGCCAGCGAAAATGGAGCTGGGGGGACATGCATGGCCTGCCCGGGCTCTGTTTTCGCTGGCAGAGCTGGAGGCCATCGTGGCTGAAAATGGAGCCTGGGAGGGCCGTGCACTGTCCTCTTGAGCTCCATTTTTGTTGACAGTCACTGCGGGCTGGTCCTTCACTGTTTCCAGGGCAGCCCCACGGGCCAGATCTAAGTACATCGCAGGCAGGATCTGGCCCGTGGGCCTTGAGTTTGAAATCCCTGTTCTAGATGATCTATGCGATCAGCCGGAGAAGATCTATATATTCTAAGTAGCTGTTCTGGCAGCTGTTACTACTATACTTTATAAGTTATGTTTATTGTTGGACATTTTTAAAATGCTGTTGAAGCTCATGGGTGGTAGACAAACATATGAATTAACGTTTGTTTTAATTCATGATCTAACTTTTTTAAAGTTCAGAATTTTAATTTAGCTACAGTGGGGTGGGACCAGAGTTAGGAGAGGTAACACCATACACACAACTTACATTGCTTGCATAGGGGAACGGCCTGGACTGCTGTCGCTCCCATTGCTGTTCGCATGCTCCATTGCACCATTAAGATCTTCCCGCATTGCATTGGCTAAACTGCCCAGAGTGGGGTTTCCCATGGAAGCAGTAGTGTATAGAGATATATTATTTTCAGCTATTGAAGCCTATAAAAGAAGGGGGAGGGGTGGACAAGACAGGAGCATTGAAACAAGCACATATCTGTACATATACCACCCATCACATCCAAGTTACATTACTTTCATTTTCTTTTTCATTAAATGCAAAGGATAAAATCATAACCTCTGTATTATTAATTTCACCACTGGCATAGCTAAAAGTTCATTCATCTCCAATTTTTATCTAAAAGTAATTTCATCTCTATCACCAAAACCAATCACATATTGTACAGGAAACAATTCAAATGGAATTTTAAGAGAAAAAAAAACCCTCAATACAATAAATAGTTAACTTAGTCTTGCATGGTCAAGAAGGTATATAGTCACATACCTTGCAACACTGTCATGATGTAAATTTTCTCCACCAAGGTGGGTTTTGCCTCAAGAGGAAAGCACCACCTTTCCACTTAATGTAAATACTAACTTTCAATGAGCTCCCCACTCCCCAGCCAAAAAAGAAAAACCCACGTAGGCAGTAAAACAAATATATTTGATATTTGCAAAGCTCCAGGAAAGGTAAGAGATCTATGTATTTAATGTAAGACCGGCTTAGCTGTATTCTAGCAAGTTCCTTAAGGAACCCTGGAGTATTTATCAGCAAACAGATCTACATAAGTGTAAGAAAGATAAATAAATTATTGAAATACATATGCAAGCCTCCCATTTTCCCACATGCAAACATGTAGGTAAAGCAGAAACCAGGTAATAGTGAAAAAAATGGTTCATGATTATCATTTTTTGTAATTTAATGAAGTAAGAAAATGAAGGAATGGTAGTGTAGAAAGAAAAAGAGAGTGCATAAAAATACCTCTTTTGCCAACATTGTAACTTAATTGCTTTTAATACATTATTTTTTTCTCTTTTATACTCTGCATTTTAATTGTTTTAATTTACTGTAGGTGTTGAAATAATCAGAAATATATAAATTTATTAATAAAAATAACAATAATAAAGAAATCTTCTGGGGAATAGAAATATGATAAGTGTTGCTTTGCAACACTTAAGATACCAAACCATATGTGATCTACCTTCCATGTATAGCTGAAATGAGGTGAATTTATAGAGCAGGATTTACATTTTCCAACAAACTAAGAGATTTTCCTTTACTGGAAATCGCAAAAAGAAATAAGTATATATTCCCTCTGGAAAAAAAAACTGTGTTATTTGGAATGGTCTACAGCACACCTCTCTTAACTTTCTTAGACAAAAAAAAATAATGTAATAGAAAACAAAGGAGAGGGACATGTAAATTATTTTTCTTCCCAAAGTAAGTCTGAGAAAGAGCTTTGAAAAGCTTCCTACAGAAAGTTAGAAGGTTTTAGTCTTTAACTTAAGTCTTTAGTCCTTAACATGTAGAGAGAAAATAAGTGATGAAACCCCTTTGTCGCCTACTGGTAACTATAATCAGGATATACATCACAAAACAAGGTTTTTAAAAATTCCATTTGCAGATTTGTCCTGCATCTTGAGATCTTTGAAGTTGTCAAAAATGGTTATCTCCATCCACAGAAGTTCTGATTTTTCCTTGGTCTTTATACTACATTTAACTGGCTTCATTACATTTCTTGGTCTTTATCCAGGCCAATCAAAAGTTACTTTAACTATTATGTTAATTGTTTAATGAAAGATACAGAGAAATAATTTTGACAAATTAAGCAACGTAAGACATATGCTTCTGGTAGGAGAAGAAGTAATGAGGGATCCTTCATGCTCTTTGAACTTGGTTGTTTTCTTGCAGACATTTCATTACCCCAGCTAGGTAACATCATCCATTTAGAGAAATAATGAATCATGCACTTTGCACCACAAAGATAACTTTGCAGCAAAGTAATTTTCTTTAGTAACAGCCAAAACAGGAATAATACTTGCTATTCCCACCCACCCCTTTTCCCCCCCGAAAACCACTGGTGGACATAAGGCAAATTCTGGAGAGAAGCAGTGGGACAGTAACGGGCAAATCCTTATGACATTTCAGATGTGCTCATAGTTATTAATCTAGAAATTCTGATGATAATGTTTCTTCTCTAGGGACAAATCTCCCTCCTCCCAGTTTTTTTCCTAACAAATTCACTTCCGGATACCTCTCATAAGCACATTCAAATGGCTTCTGAAATATGGTATCATAAAGTGAAAAAAGCAATATGCATTTGGTGAGAAAACCATTGTAAAAAGAACCTTCTCACAAACATTATTTTGATGGTTTCTGCTTTTCTTCAAGATGTGTATTAATTAGCAGAGTCGAGTTCTACACAGTTTTCTGTCTTTAGATAGAAAAAAATAGAGCTTTCTGAAATGTTAATTTCATCTAGGAAAAGCACAGCATTTACTGATCTGAATATTGAAGAGCAGAACAGCAACCTAAGCTGAACATACAAGCAGTTAAGGATGGAAAAACAGGTTCAGAGATCTCTTATTCATCCCCCATGGTTTCCTCTTCTGATCTTCTGAACAGGCACTCCTCAACTTACGAGCACAATGGGGATGGAACATCTGTCAGTAAGAGATGCAGTCCTTAAGCAAGTTGCACCCACTTTTGCAATCTTTTTTTTTACATAGTCATTAAATGCATCACTGCAGATTTAAGCGAATCACATAGTTGTTAAGTGAATCTAGATTTCCCCAATTGAATTATTTCACTCATTGGAAGCTCCCTGCGAAAATTGCAAATGGCGATCACATGACCTTGGAGGACCGCCACCATAGTAATACATATTGGTTGCCAAGTGCCTGAATTTTGATCACACGACCACAGGAATGCTGCACTGGCTGTAACTTCGAGAACCAATTAGTCACTTTTCCCAGTGCTGTTGTAACTTTAAATAATCATTAAACAGGTGGTTGTAAGTTGAGGACTACCTATATGACTATAGCTGCTACTCCTTTCAACTCACTACCAGAACTGCTTCTGGTAAAAGAATCTGGGGAAAAGCAGAAGGAGGGGCTTCCCAAAGAAATTGTGCTATTAGGAAACTAATACAGGAGATGCACTATTTCACAAGTAGGGCAAGAAGTAAGGGAAATCATCAAAGGACATTTTCCTTGGCTTTGAATGATACTGTTGGTTAGATTTTCAAGTAAAGTTACTGTGTATTGAATTGCACACCAATGAAACAAGCTTGCTTAATTAGCTGTGTTTGCAGTAGCGCTTTGAACAGAAATGCTAAAATGAAACTTGGCGTTATTGATATTATTTGGAGTCCCAAGTGGCTGCCAATTGGTGATGAATGCTAATTTTCTATCATATATCAGCCAAATAGTTGTTGCCTGTATAATTTCAAACAAAACATCTGTCATCTTTTGCCACAGACAGTGAAATCATCAAAGCTAGTACAAGATGGCTTAAAAGCTACCCTAAATTAGCGCTTCTTTCAAATGAGTGGGGCCACAAATTAAGGGCAACTAAAGAGAGAACTTGGCATTGGGTCATAAGCTCATTCTAACATACTGCTTCTTCATATCATTCAAGGCTGAACCCAACGTCAAATAGTGTCCAGTTTTCTTAATTTCAGTGAGAAAGGGAGTGACAAGTGGACAGTGTCCCACTTTTCTCTGTATTTTGCTTCCCTTATAATTTCTACAAAATAAAGCTAATTGCTAGCAGCATACAATATGAACTGACCGTATAGATTTTTATTTGATATCCCTTTGTGCAATATATATTTTTGAGGGGTCTTTGGTGCTGTCTGAACTTGGTAGCTTTCTTGCAGATGTTTCATTACCCATGATTAGCACCAATGATGCTACCTAGTTTGGTAATGAAACGTCTGCAAAAAAAAACAAAAAACCAATGTTCGGAGAGCACTAAGGTCCCTTCATTTCAACCCTGAGCTACAAAAATTCTCCTTTATTGATATAAATTTTTTATTTGATCCCCCTTTGTGTACTGAGTCTAATATGAAAATTCCACTACTTCCCATTGCAGGGATATTTTTTTTTCAGTGATGACACTGAAATTAATGTTATATTATCACATAATATAAGAGGACAGGAAAGATGACGACAACAACACATGTTTTAGAACTAAAAACACGAACTGCTCAGTATGATAAGCAAGTTAATTGAAATTAGTCACATAGCTAACACAAGCTGAAGGAACACTGGATCTCTTCATTTTTGCTTTTCAGCCTCATGAATGCAAAATGTGCTCGTAATCTTAATGCTATTCCTCAGATGTCTTTAAAAATTGCACTCCGCAGGACTCAAGGGAAAATAAGATCCTAATGAATGGTATTTACAGTTGCTTCATTTACACATGCTTTCATTTGCTTTTCAGAAGTTACTACATAAATTAAAGTAATAAATGAAGATGTAGGTGGTTACTTATTTTGTAATCAATCTACTTCCTGGTTTAGAAAGGGAAATACTATCATATTTTTACAAATATGGTATATTCTCTGACCTGATTTCAAAAGAAGCACCACCGCAGTGTTATTTTTTTAATATATTGTTCAAATAAAGCTTAAGAATCTTAATTTATCTAAGCATTTTTCAAGAGGTATGCTACTTAAGCCTTTCTGGGTCTGTCTCATAAATAATGGGGATCTTTTATCAAAGAGAGCCAATGTTTTTACTATGTTTTAATAACAGAATTTTCTGAGTGGGTTAAGCTTAAATAAGAAATAAAACTTAAAAATGGTACAGTAATAATAATAAAACACTCAAGTGGTAAAATACATGAATAAAGTAAGGAATACAAAAATAAAAATACATAAAAGTCTAAAGTTTTCTAAGAAGCATCTCTCTCAGCACTGATACCTGGAAAAATAACTTTTGATTAATTTTTAGCTGCTTGTACAAAGTTGTAACACTTGTTTATAAAAATATAAATCCTGATCCCCTAATGATTACTTAAATATTGGCTTAAAAATATTCTTGAGATCAGCATCACAAAACCGAAATCTCTTTTCTTCATTCCTCATGCATAACAGCAAGTTCAGCTATTTAAAAATTTAGAATCATACACCTAGAAGACCCTTTGAAGAAAAAAAAGGAATATGTGTGTGTGTGTGTGTGTGTGTGTGTGTGTGTGTATGAGGTATCTACTTTCCCTTTAAAGCCACGAACAATAGAAGGTCATGTGACACCCTATCCTATCATTCAGCACATTAATAGCTGTGCTAGAGTAATTACACTTGTGGTATTTTTGCCTCAAGTGAAATTCTGAAATAAGAGGATGGAAATTATGATACTGCTGATAAATATTAATAAGTGAACTTTTAATTTTTTTGCCACAATATTCAAAATGCTAAGCATCCAGCTAATGCTGAAGCAGCCTGGTATGTGTTTGCCTCCAGGGACCATGATGCTTTATGCACTTAAGAAAAAAGTTTAACGGAATTAAAATTTAATATCTAATTAGAGCAAGGCTAATATATTTTGAAACGAATACAGAAGGCACACATGCCTATGTGGTGTATTTGCCACACTCATTAATCTTACCTGTAAAGCAGCACTGAGAGGTGAGCAGTAGGTGTGGCTGGTCTGCATGTTTTTAATAAGTGAGGGGTTTCTGCGCAAGGAAAATATATTTGAAAAGAAAAAGCATACAAATTAAATGCAGTCAACTGTTATACTTCAGGAAATCAGTTTCTTTCCTACATCACAAGTATCATAAAAAATACTATTGTTTCCTCCCCAATTTTTAAGACTGAAAAACAGAAATTTTTTTGTAAATTTCACCAGTAAAAAGGCAACCAGCCTTTTATATTGAAATGTTTTAAGTGCCCTTAGGTTGTCTTTGGAGTTATTTCCTGCAGTAGAGGGCCTATGTATCTTCAGATTTCTCTGAACAGCAGGTGTTCGTTCACAGGAGTAGAACCAAGAAAAGTTTTTTCTATGGCCAGGGAGAGAGCTGCGTTATATTGCTCCAGACAATGTGTGTGGGTTGTTTAACTGTTCTTTAGATTCCTTGCGACTGGGAAGACAGGAAAAGCAGGCAAAGACAAGTCCCTTTAATATTGGCAGGAGTCTTTCTGGCATATTATTTTCCTACGCATCTTATAATGAAAGGACAATTCAAAGTCATTTATGGTTTGTAAGAAAAATAGCCTTTCGCATCTGAACAGCCTCAACTCGTTTCTTATGGGAAGGAAGCTATGATCCAGACAAGCTTACATTCTAAAAGGAAGGAAGCTCCCCCTGAGCAATGATTGCTCAGTCAATGCCCTGAGGAAGAAGTATGGCTTTATGGGTTGTATGAACGATTGAATGACCCCATTGTGCAAACTGCAGGAAATCCAACAGAATTATCCATCCTTAGATGAGAATGATTGAAGAGCAGGGAGCCAAAAAAATAGCAGAGACTCATTCAGAGAACAAGTGGGGAACTTTAACTGTGGTGGACGTTCAGGAAACTGGTTAGGGATTCAATTCACTCTTGTAAATGTTCTGATGGGTCCTAGGATACTTAATTAGGATTCTTGTCCCATGAAATGGTATCTAAATAAATAACCCATAACACCCATCTTAACTGTCTATGTCCATAAGAGTCATTAGGACTTGCTTTTCCTTTTCTAAAAGTTAAGTACCCCAAAGCATCGGCTTTTTCAGATTCCTGCTTTTCTCATTTATTTATGGTCTAATCTTTAACTACAGGGCTGATCATTGAGAAACTAAGAAGATGATCTAATGTTTAATGTAATAATAACAACCATTTGTGTATTTTAAATGTGGACCTAAATATTGATTGTCGTAAAAAGAGAAAGGGTTGGGCTCTAACATGCTGGAAGTTCTACTCATTCAAATCAGTGGAAATGAACGTTTAATTTCAAAACTAATATCAATTTCAAAACAGCAATTAACACATGCATAATCCTATGCACGTCTTTTTAAAAGTGAGTTTCATGGCTCTAATGTGTCTTTTGTTCATGACTGTAAACCAGTTTTTTCAAGTAAAGCATAAAAAAATAGTTAAGAATATAAACCTCAAAACCTATTACTGGAAATCCTCTCTTTTCTTCCCAGAGCAAGTTTGACTCAAGTTTTAAAAAAGCAATGCTCGCTAGTTACTGGACCCCATTTGATGACAATTTAATTCAGACTTAGTAATAAGAATTCCAGTCCTCAGAGAAGAGCAGAAAATAGAAAGAACCTGCATGTGAAATATAAAAAAAGGGCCACTCTATCCCATACTGGCACTCATATTGTGCTTCTGAATCAGTCAACAGAAAAATATGAAAAAAATAAAATCTTTGAACAGAGTTTTCAAATATTTGAAAGTTATCTACAGTTAGATATATAGTATTACATACACAATGCATATATAGCATTGAAAGAATATAGGACAGCAAGAATGACTTGCAAATTTTATATATAAAACCAGCCTAACACCATATAGTTTATTACAACATTAGCTAACAAAGAATTTATCAGCGCCCCTGCATTGAAGCAAATATAACTTATAAACGTTTTATAAAATGTTAGCCTAGGCATTTTCGAGAAGCAATGCAATGCATGTACAAGCATGACATTTAAATTGTTATTATTATTTTTGCAGCAAAGGCAATGCCACTATTTTGTGAAATGCAAATCTACATGAGATGAATACACCATGCAAAGCAAAAGCAACAGAAAAACAAAAACTGGGGAAAAAAATTAGTGCACACACACATACAGACACAAAGCAAGTAAAAGCTCTTACTGTGTAACAAGCTCGCCAAAGTTTTCATCGGGGCAGAATTTTCGAGGACGGCCTCGTTGAATATGACGGCCACGTTTAAACTCTTCATCATCAACAGTCCAAAAGGACCCAAACTCATCCTCTACTCTGATAAAGCACTTATGCAGGGAGAGATTGGTGCGAATAGCACCCTGGGATAAGACCAGCGGCAAACGAGATGATTGGGGAACAAAGGGGCATGGGATCGGGGAAACAGAACAGACATCAAATACAGGGAAAAGGAAAAAACAGAACAGAACAAAACAAAAAGAAAATAAAATGCCATAAGCCTAAGCAAATGGATTGTGAGGGTTAATATGCATTGCCACCTACAAGTTACTAGCATGTGATGCAGAACAAACACCAAGCAAGCAAGGGCAAAGGGGACTGCTGGGCATACAAATGGTAGTGATGAAATGCTCTCTTGTTGCTTCACCTCGACTGGGCCGAGGCGAAACCATCGGGGTTGTTCTAGAACACCATCTAGCAGCCAAAGCTTCTATATTAAAACTAGCTAGGCTAAGAAGTTCAAACATGGTGGACGTACCCACTGATCTTTTGTGGCCTTCGTTTTTGGAACTCTACTTCATCCACTGTCCATACTGCCCCTTTAACGTTTTCTACTCGCACAAAACACTTGTGAAGGCTAAGATTATGACGCACTGCATTCTGCAGCAAGTATAAGAGAGAAAACATTGGGAAAAAAAAAACTTTCCATGAGAAAAAGAATCTTAGCATTGTCAGCCGGCAAGTCCCCCTTTCCCTCATCCCGCCCTCCACACCGGACAATATAGTTATAACTTGTAAGATTTGCAAAAGAAAGTTCATGAAAACCAAAACTTGATTGTTCTTATTAAATTTTAATGGCCTGGAAAGTTAAGAAATGTGAAGTAATTTTATATATTAATATCATGGCAATCCATTTTGGAAATGTATCCAACCAAAGTTTTGTTCCTTACCACTTCTGTTCCTCATTATTAGAGTTAGAACTATGTAAGGGATGATTTTAATATTCTGTAATATTCATCATTTGTGGTTCAAGCATTACTATTATTATCAGAATTATGAAGCTTGTCATATTTAGTTGTCAGTTTAATTAAATCTTAATCGACTTTTAAAATTATTTATTAAATTTGCACACCACCCAGGTCCCAGTAACTCTGGCCAGTCCACAATTTAGTCTTAGGCTGAATTCATATGGAGACCTGTAAAGTCCTCCATTATAGTATAAATACCGAACTTTATTTCTACCATATTACATGTCTTATTCTTTTCATCTCTAGCATCGGATTTATCAATTTTTAGAATAATCTTATCCTGGAAATTTAAACAACCCTGGATATGTCTAAACTTATTAAGAACAGTTTTCTAACAAATTCTACCTAAAGGTACACAATCATTCACAACTGATACCCATTAGAAAAAAAAAAAACCAAGCAAAGAATATATAGGTTGTTAACTCACATCTACCAATAGTCAATGGGGAGGCTATTTTACAGGCATAATGCCAGGGAAGCATATGGACAGATGTTTAAATAACCTAAAGGGCTAAGTCCCTTATTCACAAATTCATGTCTACATAGTGAAAGGCCTTCTAATCATGACTGTCTACATTTACTGTGGACGCCAAGGTTAGGCAAAACACATTTATCATATTAATTAAAACAGTAGAGGGAGATCTGAGCCACAAGGGGCGGGGATTCGAAATCATTTCATATTGCAGTTCTACAGCATAACTAATTTTCTCACTCTTGTAGCACATCTGCTTCCTCAAAAGAGGCTATACAGACAATCCATGTTCTCGAACAAATGCAAGGTTGCATCTATTTTTGGCAGAACATTAATAAATCACCACAGAATCCTGTCATTATGTAAGTAGAAACTGGTGAGGAACCATGAAGCTTGATAGCAACTTCTGCTCATGACACATGAACATTCAAATCTTCAATGAGATAAAATCTGCTCCTTGATTCCTACGCCATCTAATCCACATAAGTAAGCATTCTGACAGTTTGATTCTTTCACTTTTAAAAATATGTTTAAGAATGGGCAACGACATTCCTCCCTGACTACTGTTCTTCACTCAGGAGAAACCTGCTAACAGGGTAGTTTGTCTGCGCGTGTGAACAGAAGGAGTGCTGCGTCCAAAGCAGCACATGGAAGATGGGGAAGAATAGGGCATAGAATTGGATCAACTGCATTTTCAGATTCATAATAAAGTAAGGGATTACATTTATATTGTAATTCCATAACTGTCTGTAGGAACAAAACCGTACAGACTTTCACAATCCTTTCTTTCAATGCTTTTGTTGATAATGAAAAAGAAGATTTCTTTCTTCTCTGAATGCTTTTTTGAATAGCTCTCAATGTATAGAAGGAATATAGCCAGGAAGGCAGAATTGCAAGGCTGTGTATGTGTGTGTGTGTGTGTGGGGGGGGGGGGGAGATGTCATAATCAGCAAGAGAAAATACCTATATTATGTATGAAAAAAGAAAACAATACAACATGAATGCAATTCACCCTCAAATAAAATTATATTCAACTGCCTAATAACTTGCCTGTCAGTTCTGCAAGATGAAATCAGTGAGATCTTATACTTATTTGCTCTAAATTTCAATTTTGTCCATCCAAACTTTGTATGATCTGAGCTGTGTTCTAGAAGACCTGACTTACACTCACAGTAATTGCATGCCAAATCTTTAGACCATCCTCAGCTATTAAAGGACAAAAGTATTCCTGGATAACACTGTTTCCATGGATCCTTATACTATGTCAAAATCTAAGGATACTAGGCCTTGGGCAGCTGAGTTCAGAAATATCTGTCTCTGCCAAAGATTTATATTACGTTTTGGCTTTGAGTAGCAATTATTTCCAATTTGGAACTAAGCAGCATAAAGACTATTATTCTCCTTTGATCTTTAGCCCCATCATCAGGGATACTGAAACATTCTATTTTCATTCAGCTATTTCACTAATCTAAAGTAGTAGTCATCTTCATATACACACATATTTATAATAAAGGGCTAAGCTTTGAAAGTAATAATCATTTGAGATTTCCTCTGGATGTAAACAAAATCAAGCTTTCTTATATAACATTGTTGAAAGTATAACTATGTTAAAGTATATAACATTTTTTTCTATTTTAGATAGTTTTCCTCCAGAATAGAAAAAAAAGTATCTTAAAACAATATTCACCAAATGAATCTAGTGCCAACACTAATTGTTAGATTATATAAAATTAACTTCCTTCCTTCCTTCCTCCCTGCAAATTTTTAATTTCAGAATAGGACCTAAATTTTCTACTTTAATTTGTCACTTAAGTTTTTTTCTTCTTCTTCCCTTTTCCAAGTTCATAATTTGGACTTTTGGCAACAACTTTTTTTTTAAAAAAAGAAGTAAAACTTTTTGAACCATAAGAAACTAGTAACTATGCACCAATGGATGCTTACCTCTTCAAACACTATTCTATCAATTTCCCCAAGGACATTTGAAATTGAAGGTTGGAGGTGGGGGGAATAAACAGCATTTTGAGATTTAGGAAGAAAATATATATTGGAAGGAAAGTGCAAAAATATTCAGGTGCCAGGTGTGTCGTTCTGGATTGTAGCCAGATTTAAAAGAAAGGAATATTTTATGAGAATTTAAACACACTCAGACATTAAATAAATGGAGCCAAACAACTGAAATTTAAAGCACCAGGGGTATTTATTAAATCGCTAGCTTTAATATTTTTATTGGCTTGTGACTTTACTGCTGTGCCCAATTAATCTGTATTGTGTTTCATAATAAACCAGCAAATATTTTTGGGAAGTTTGCATATTAACTTAAGGCAGGTGTTCAGTTGGCAGGCTATAAAGCTAATTTTCTACCAATCTTTGCAAAAGGACTTAATGTATAGAATCTTTTAGTGTAAATCACAAACCCACCAACTGATTAATCATCCTTTCTTTTTGTATCTTAGCAGCTGAAATATTTCACTACTAGGAGCAACTATAGAGATGGACTAGTTGTCCAATCAGAACATGCAGCAAAACCCACTAATAATAGGTATTCAAATTGGGGCATTTCAAAGGCATATATTTCTTTCCTGCCAAATAATAAAATGTTTGGGCAGATAAGAGGCACCCTATGTATATCACAACAGCTGAACTATATTTAGAAGACTAAAATCTTTTATAAATAATTAGATATGTTTTGGCACCTTCTATTCTAGAACACTAAATTGTAAAGCAAGAATCATACAAGGGAATACAACATACCTTCCACGTTGCTGCATTGCGTCTGAAGTAGGCAAACATACGTGTGAACCAGTTGTAGATTTCATTTAGTGTTAGCTGCTTTTCTGGAGATTCAAGAATTGCCTGTCAAGCAATTAAAATGCAACCATGATCAGAAAATATTCTTGCACATTTGTCTGAATAAATAAAACAACATGGAAGTCAGAGAAAAATAAACACTTGCACGACGATGGAAGATTAGTGGTTGTACTTAATAGCTCATTGGCAGAACTGAAAATGGAATTATCTAATTGTTTTGAGTTTTATTTCTGTTTCCTTACGGAAATATTAATTTATTAGTCATTCATAGAGCAGAATCAAAGAGAAATGCAAAACATTTCACTAGCTGATTAAAGCTTAGTAATTATTTTGAGCTCAGATTAATTCTAGGGATCAGAGATTACTATAGCTTGTGATAATTGACTTGCCATCTTTAAACAGGCTCATTTTCAGTGTTGTGTGAAATGAATTTCCTAATAATCACATCGTATTGTAATACTTAATCAAAAGCAATTATGGTATATGTATTGCGGTTGTGGGGAGGGAAAAAACCCCCATATAGCAAAAGTGTCAGCATGCCTATATTAGCTAATCATCTCTTCTTGCCTATAGCATCACATATATATGTACAATCCTGGATTTAAGTCAGTTTTCAGGGATAGTATCACTTACCTGCCTAATTAAAGAGGCATATGTAAAGGGCGGCCTGACTTCTGCATTCTTGTAGAATTCTTGATTCTGCGCAATATCTGCTAAATGAAGGCAAAGAGGGCTCCGGTTAGCCATGACTCATCACTTTCTTTGGATGGGAAGGACCAAACTCTTTATTTTCTAGCTGGCCTTCAAGTTACCTGAGGAGATGGGCACATTGTATTTATCAGAGTACCGCCTTCGGATGGGCCCAACGTTGTGCATGCTGGTAGTAGTGATGACAGAAGGTCCCTGGGTAACAGGAGTGATGGGTGCTGTCGGGGTGGTGGGAGTATGAGGTAAACTCTGTGGAGAAGCCTCTGATGCAGTCTTGGAAAGCGTGACATTAGAGACAAGATTCAACTATTAAAACAGAAAAAGAAAACAATTTCCTGGATTAACAAATACATTGCCCCCATTGTTTTTCATGCACTGACATCTTTTTTAAGACATAAGGACGGACTGAGTATATTTTGATTCTCATACTCAATGGAAAGTGTACCGTAGTCATGAAGGTGTTAGAGTAGGACTGGGGAAAAAGTTACAAGACATCCTCGACTATGAAAAGACACTTGCAGGATATAATATAAATCAGTTACAGGATATAAATCAAACCAGTAAGAAGCATGCAATACATTGATAAATAAATGCCTTCATAACTTTGTTCCCTATCTACTCTGGGCCCTGCAGTAAAAGCATTCTAATATAGATGTACATTATATGTTTATTGAGGTTATCTAGGCAGGTGCTTCAATTTTTGAACACTATATGGGTAGATAACCTGATGAAGCCTTATTTTTACAGTTATATAGCTATATGAATGAGGGGGCAACAAAAATAGCTTTAAAGTGAGGCTATGAAGTAGCAAGTGGAGAATAGCGTAGATGAGCTAACCCCCAAACAGTGCAGGTTTCATTAAGTGAGGAAAAAAGCCCTAGAAATAAATTGAACAAATATTTACTTTCCACACTATAAGAGATTAATCCTTTAAAACAAACTATTTTATCCTGAGTACACAATTGATCTGTAATATTATCTATGATTCTGGCAATCTGAGGCTATACTGTAATCACAAATATCTTTTATTGGAAATTAGTTCTTTAAAAAGACTGGCATTTTGGGGTCAGTATGAAACTAATGATTCTCTGGCCTCAGAAAGAATTTAAGGAAATAAAGTGTTTCTCAGCCAGGCATAACAAATAGCACCAGTCAAATTGGCTATTTCTTTAGAATGATCAAAGTTGAAGCTAGACAAGACATATCCTCTTCACATACATCTCTACTTGTCTTTTACAGTAGATGTTGCCTTTTTTAGACACAACCAAGAAAAAAACATGTATATTGATGCCCAAACAGTTCTTCTGACCCTTAAGAATATAATGAAGACTGCAGGCATATATTTAACATACAAGACCGTCCCACTGAAATCAGTGAGTTTTTCTTCTAAGCAATTAAGTTATAGGATTACATTGGAAATCTGGGGAAAATAGCAGATTTTTCTTTCAGGCAGTTAACACAAAAGATTGCCTAAAGTACTTTAAAGTATTCCAAATTAAAAGAATGTTTTATTTCTATACACCCAGACTTCTCATAGACTGATAATCACAGATAATTGCCTTTCACATTGAGGATTTAAGATTTTATATTGGTGTCACCGATCCTTTCTTTGGGTTCCTTAAGGGAAATTAGCTCCATTATTTTAAGAAAATTTTCTTATGAAAGTATACAAAGTGTCCTAGGAAAAGACAGCAACTCTTTTTCTAATATCTTGAGGAATTATTGTTATTGTTATGAATTACACCTTTAAAATGTAAAATATTCTTTTTTGTTTCAATCCATAGCGTTAATACATTTTCATGAAAACTGACTTGTTGAAAAAAAGTTTTGACCACTGGATTCCTTATTTTCTTTCTGTTAATTTAAGGCATGCAATCAATAATGCCTCTCACATATGTTCTTCTGTTAGAGATACCTAAGTATCTTATAAATAATGAAGTTTTTTTATTTGCACTTTAATTTGAATACTTGAAGTGGGCTGGGTTAGAGGAAAAACTAAATGAAATAAATGAATGTATAAAACCTACAAATGTTCACATAAAAGAGAAAAAAGATTCTTTTATGGTAGGTAATCGTCAAGACAAATCAACTGTCAGGAAAAAAATGCCTAATTGAATCATGCATCTATATTTTAACTCAAGTAATGCAAATTTTGGGTGCAGATATGAAATAAACAGACTGATCCAAGCTCTCAATGCTTTTTAAAAGAAAATTATTATGATGGATTGACAGAAATGGGAGGGAGTAAATAAATAAAACTTCTGGTGGATAGACAATAGAAAAGAACTGTTACTCCATGTGAGCTCAGAGTTCACTGTTTGGCCGATGTCAGCAGACAATCCTATTCTGTGATCAATATAGCTACTATCAGAATTCAAGAGGCGCCTGGGAAAGCTCTTCCATCAATGGGAGACAGGCAAGATATCTGCCCTTACCCAGACACTTGGGATATTTAGAATTGGCAGGCAGAATTTGGGAGTATATCTCTTCATTCATTTTCTTATTTGTACTTCCTTTTGATGAACTGTTCCTTCATTTGTGCATACACCAAAGAACAGCATTTCATTAGCAAAAGCAGCAAAGATAGGGGAATTAGGGGTAGAAGATATTGACTGCAATGGCCTTCCTCCCCAGCTCTTTTTCTCTTCAGGCTATATTATTATTACTATTATTCCTCACACAGTCAGCCAGATGTTCAGACTGGGTTTGGCATTTTTGTCTACCTATCGAGTAGACAAAGGACCTGTGATAGGCAAATCTGGATGTTTGATGGTGTTACAGATATCGCCACAGGATGATGATGATGATGATGATTAGCAAATAGCATCTATCTGAATGTCTGTGTATTTCTGGAATGTAAACAGCACGGGAGGCGTTGAGAAAGAAATCTAATCCTCACACAACTTGGTAAGTAGATGCAGACAAAGGGGTACCATTAATTTGTCAATTTTTAAAAGAGATTATTTTGATTTACAAGATGGTTTTCTACATGCAAGATGCCAAATGACAACATCATACTGAAGTGCACTGAGGGCACGTTGGTCTGAAACTTTTTTTTAATCTTAGGCTTCTCAAAGGTTCCCATGGAATGAGGATTCTGCTTTCAAAACAGTAATGCAATGAATGACATAAAGTGACCTATGACTGCATTCTCCCAAGCAGGTAACTGCCCTCAGATGCTAACTTATGCAAAAGGGAAAGAGCAGATAGGCTACCCTACGTTCTTTTATTTGGGGGAAATGGATGGTTGCATTTGTTACGCCCTTCTGGCATCCATCCATCCATCACATATGATAAAAAGCACGGGGGATAACAACAATGCAAAGTCTCCCTGAGAAATTGAATCTCCTCTATTTTATCTCTGCTCTTAAACAGCATGAGCAAATCTGAATCAATTTCCAGTGTTCTTGCACTGCACAAACACAGAAGATTGGCTCTCCTGCTGGAAAGCACACGGATACTGTTTCCTCATTACTGTTCAAACCACTCAATTTCAAACAAGTTCAATTCTGTTTTTGCTGTTTAAAAGCTTAAACATTTAATCTGTTTCTACTAGGAAGCTGGGGGAGGGGTGTGTGTGTGGAAGGCCCAAAGGTCAATGTTCTCCAGTTAAATAATTTGAATTGAGTTAAATTTCTTGAGGCAGTCAGGGTAGGTAATACAACTAGAAATAAACACAAAAGTGAAGAAGAGCAAGGGGATGGGGGGCACCGCCTCGAACAGGCTCGACAAATGACACTGCGATTCACACCCACTGCTAGGCTGCCACTAATAAGCTAAAGAGGAAGCAGCCAATCTTGGCTAATTACCAGATAAAATTGTATTGTAAGGACTCTAATTAGGAGATGCTTATGGAGGTGATCTAATGATTAAACACTACATCCCAGTGACCCCACCGTCAATGAGCAACGGGGTAAGATGTCACTGGAATATTTTGTAGAAACAGTACTTTTATTTCAAGGGTAAGGGAGAGGCCGTAATATTTGTAATAATGGCTACAAGGTAAACTCATTAAAAGACAGTTCCTAGAGGAAGGCCGTGCCTTTCAGCATCTGTGGCCGTTCCAAAGCAAAGTGCCAAATCTTGACAGAGGGACTGCAGTCAAGTGGAAAATTTCTGCCTGACCTCTGCTCTTGCTATTAATTTGCAGCAAAACTAATGACACATATACATATTCCCACAACATTTTTCTAATTGCTAATTTGCTAAAAGAGTCGACTTCCCAAATTAAACCTGACTGCCGTCTGAGAAGGAAGGGGTTGGAGAGGAAAACAGCGAGAGAAGAAACCCAGAGAGCTTTGTGCTTTATCAGAGGTAACTGCTAGATTGGCAGAAGGAACAAGTTAAGAAAACCATGACTTGTTACTTACTAAGGAAAGTTTTTGCTTTTTCGAGCTTTTCTGAAAGGAGAGCCTCTTAGCGTTTTCACGTGGCCTCAACTACAGATAGCAGTTATGAACAGGAGCACAACTATGTCAGACACAGTTCTGTTGCAATCATCAACTGCTAATATTCATTATAATGTATTCAGGATTCATTGTTTAAACATCAACTATGAAAAAGGCCTTGAGTGAAGTAAAGACAGTTTTGTGGGGCAAAGATCACAAATGGCTAAGAATGATGGGAGTTTATTTTCTTGATTGATATGCCACATCAATTTCTACTTAAGAACAATCCTGACACATTGCTTGGATTTGAGAAGTAGTTGATAAAGATTTTTGTCATACAAATAAGAGTTCACTTGATTGCAATATATTTTGATCAACTACCATGTTATTAGAGCTAATAAAAGTGAATTTTTGAGTCACTCTACTCCTAGTGGCCTTATGTTCTTATGGTATCTTTAATTATTACAAGAAGAGCTGTAATTTTCAGACTGTATAAGGGTATAGACAACAACATAGGAATGAACAAGTAATCTTCCTCCCAACCACCAAAAATTAGTGGTCTTTGTGTTCTGCTAGGAACAAATTCTATACCGACAAAAGCATAAACAGAAATATAATTTAGTGTCTTTTTGTGTGTATGTGTACGTATTTAGGACACCATCTATAGAATTGCAATTTTGACTATCAAAGGGCTTTAACAATAAGGTATGAGAAGTGTGCTCATGATTGTACATGTTTATATTTGGGCTCTCTCGCACCCCTACACATGCATACATATATAATATTTTTGTTTTACAGTACATGAGTAAAGCTATCCATAATAGACATACTTCCTTTTCTCCAAATTCGTATTTGGTTGTCCCTTTAAGCCTGCAGTAATGCAACCTGAAGTAGTCATTCCCTCCTTGGCCACCCAAGTATTTGGAAAACTAAAATAATTTGGAAAAGAAAACATGATAAAAGAAATATTTTATTTACATTAACGATAAGATGAAGGAAGAAGCTTCACCCCTCCCTACTGCTTCTCAAATTCCTATGGAATGGGAAACATGCTACAAATACATTCACACACACACACACACACACACACACACACAGATGAACTTTTTTGTTTTGCTTTTAAAGTAGCTTCCATTGGTCTATGTTTGAAAGACGTATACAAGACTTGACATAAGGCCAAGGATTTCTGACATGGGTGCCCATCGTTTTTCTTGGGGCTCAAACGGTTGCTGTGTTGGGTGTTGGGAATGGTGAATGGAATGGCACTACTCTCAGCGAGACCCTGAAAGTGGATGGATATCAGGACGGTTAGATTTCACCCACAAACATTTTATGTACACATCTTTAGAAAATATATATAACTACATGCAACACAAGATTTGGCAGGCAATGATCACTTAGCAGGTGTTGTTATTGGCAGAGATACTAAAGGAAACCCAACTTGAAGAGTGGGGCTTAATGAAAAACAGTATATAAAAACAGCTTTTGTGTGTTGCATTTACAAATCTCCCCCCCCCCCCCCCCATTACTACATATCATTATTTTTCAAACTATAAAGTACAGCTACAGCAGCTAAAATGCTCAGTCATTACCTCACAGTTAAAAGGCTATTTTTAATGCTTTGTTTTTACAGTTGCTAAAAACAGGATTTCAAAACAATTCTAATTGCTGTGGTTAGGGTAAAGGAAAATATATAAAAAATAGCCAACAGTTATGTCAGCTCTAGAAAGATGGATGCACTGCCAGGTATGCAAAAAAAGAAAAAAAAAACCCTACCAAAGAAAGAGGAATGCATTCCTTCTTTCTTTGTGAGAAGCAATCTGTGGCTGCACAGTGCCATGTAATAGCACCTGGCACCTTAATTCTCCTCTACCATCTCATCACCAGGAATGCTTGAAAATAATGGGATTACTGCATTATTGTGTTACAATATAAATACTTGCATTTCTGACAAATCTAATGAGAGCATCCATGACAATAAAAAATACCACTGCACAGTACTAGTTTTCTAATTCTATTGTGTAATACTAGATACTAGGTAAACTAGACTGAGTGGGAAAAACCCAGGAAGAGCATCTTCCTACAAAGCCATGACCATAGAGAGCATTCAGCACCATAGCAGCAGCATATATAACATTCTTCATGGGAATAATTGGGGCTATTCACAACAACAAACTAAATCAGCTGCATTAATTACTTCCCAGCAACAGAGCATTCAAAATGTGCCAACTTTAGTTGTTTTAACTCAGGGGTCTCCCAAACGTGGCAACTTTAAGGCTTGTGATTTTCAACTCCCAGAATTCCATGCTGGTTGGGGAATGTTGGAATTTGAAATCCACAAGTGTTAAAGTTGCCAAGTTTGGAGATCTCTGTTCTAACTGAACACTGAACTCCCAAGATATTGAATTTCAGTGGAACAATCAACTCAAAATGTTTCAGTTTGCTTCATGCACCCCTACATTTGATTCTCCAAGAAATATCTATGATAACCAAATCATATTTGACAAAGAAATTCATTGCCCCCCCAAATTGTACCTGCTTTTGAGATTACTATGATCATTTTAAGGTAGGCACCATTACCTTTCAAAATTTTGTCAACAACTTTCCCTGATCAAAAATGACTAAGTCAATTATTCTATTTGCATTTTTTAAAAAAGAACCAGAATTTTAAATTCCAATTCTTTAAAAAAGCCACAAAATATTACAATTAATTTATACCTTACATCTGGTTAGGACAACAGAACGTTAATTATGGGGTGTAAAGTGGATTGAATGCTGTGGTTTTGGTCACTGACTCACTTCTAGCCAGAATTATATGCTGCTGAATGTATAAAGGCCAAACCTTGGCTCTGTGATTTTATTCTTTTCCTATCCCAGCAAGGATAGCATATACGAAGAATACTATATTTCTACATTTTGTAATTAATTTTCAAATCCTTCACCTATACATATTTTAATAATTTCTGATTTATCTGATGATATCTGTAATAAAATTTCCTATATTCAATAAATGAAAAGAAGGCTGTTTCAATCCAATAACAGAGTGTCACACAATATAGTCCTGTCAGGTGCCAATTTTTACTTCTAATGTGTACGTTAAAGGATAAGGATTTATAATGCTGCCTATGAACGAAACCACTTTTCATACACAAATGTGATCTTTTTTTCCAAAGGGTAATACAACAGTACATTTACATAAACTAATCCAAACAATCTATGTATTTGACAATGGCAAACCTCACACAGACTGCCTATTGTTGGTTTACATCTTGGAGTTCTTTATGTTGGCTTGTAACACTGCCCTAGCTGTCAAAGGTTTGACTTAGCCTCTAAATAAATGGTTATACAAGTGCTGTGCGGTGATATTGGACTGCTTTGGAAAAGAAACCTGCTGTGTACGAATTCAAAAGCTATTAATTTTTCAGTCAAAAATATTCATGCCTATTTCTTTTAATAGAGAAACACTGTGCAGAGCTACTGAGAGATAATGTTGACTAGTAGTGCAGAATTTTCAATAGAACAGTTAAAAATAAATTTAGTGGGAGGCTCCATCAAAGCTATAATTTTCTAGAATGTAAAACATTTTTAATACTGATGAAGACACTGCATCCTGCACTCCCTTTCCTTTGGTCAATTTTACTTCCTTTCTCTACTGGTCCACTTATTGGGTTGTGCAGCAGTTTTCACTCTGGAATCTCTGTTACTGCTACTATTTATTAGTCCTGAATTTTAAGTAGTGAGCACTTGGAAACTGATTAAACTGTCATAGCCATATTGCTCTTGTACTCAAAGGGGGAAATGTTGGCCCTTCAGATATTTTCATCCTGCAACTGACATTTGCCCATGTTGGTTGGTCTAACTTCCTTTTGTAGGACTTTCTGGGGAAAAAGTGGGAGGGATAATAATTATCCACCATTCACCTTCTGAAATACAGATAGTCCTTGACTTACAACCTTTTGTTTCATGACTGTTTGAAGTTATAGCACATAAAAAGTGCCTTATCATTGTTTTTCACACTTACGACCATTGTAGTATCCTCCACAGTCATATGATCAAAACTGAGACGCTTGACAACTGGCAAGTGTTTATGATTGCTGCAGTGTCCTGGCATCATGCGATCCCCTTTTGTGATCTTCTGACAAGCAAAGTGAATCAGGAAGCCAGATTCACTACTACTACTCATTTAACAACTTAAGTGATTCACTGTGGCAAGAAAGATGTAAAATGGGGCAAAACTCACTTAACAACTGTCTTGCTTAGCAATGGAAATTTGGGGCTCAATTGTGATCATAAGTCAAGGACTGCCTGTATATCATCTTGCAGCTGTTGAATTTATTTGAAAGATCGCGTTTTATATGGTCCAGATGGTGTTATTAGAGAACTGTGACGGAGGTAATCCAGAGCTCCACAAATCATCGGTAGAACAGTTCTAGCTATGTGTGGAGCACCAAACAAGTAACCACAACCTCCTAAAGGCCTGGTATGAAGCTTTAAGAGCTTTTCCCAGGTTGTCTACACATACATATATTATTTGCTGACAACTAATCAGCTAATGCACCGGTGTCAAACCCGAGGTGTCATGTTGCCATCACGTGATGTATCATGGCATTCCCCCCGTTCACGGAGCTGGGGTGGGCGTGGCCTATGGGTGAAACATCCGGCCTGTGGGCTACCAGTTTGATACCTCTGAACTAAAGTATTTTCTGTGTGAGAACAAGTGATATCCTCAAAGTAATTGCCACAAATGTTTGTGAAGATACAGTTCAAGCAGCTTTACTTCACTTGTTATTCAAAGTACTTTTTGAAATGATTTACCCTCTTCTAGGTTCTATCTGCTTCTTGATACAACTGGATTATTTTTTAGAGAATACAGGGTCAGATGTGGGTATACATCCAAGGACAGAAAATAAAAAACTTATTTCATATGGCCCAAGCTTTCATGGGAGTTCAAGATTTTGGAAGACAGGATTACACAAAATGAAGGTTTTCTTAGCTCTGCCTTATATTTCAAAAACAAGAACACTGGGGTTTTTTGCCACTCAAAAATGCTCGGCAGAAAAATCTGCACATAGATTTACTAAGACAGTGAAAGGGATCAGGGATTTGAATAAAATGCTCTATCTTAAGTTAAAATTTAATTTACATATCAAAATCAGACTTGCTTATCCTAAAAGCTTATGCCCCCCCCTGCAACCTTTTAAATATGAGGTTTTTAAAGTTTATTCCTCTCCTGATAATACTCTGAAATTCCTAATTGCTTCATGTGAGTATTTTAAGCTGAAGGATTGATTTGCGACTCAGTTTCTTAGCTATGTGTAGGTAAATGGCCTAATTTGATTTTACTTGTTGTATGAAAATTTAGTGCTGATGATCTACAGTTTGTATAAACCACATTCATCAGCAAGTAGTGATGAACCATAACAGCAAATTGGTTTATCAATTTTATTGTCATGCCGATTGTAAAATAGCATATAAACAGGCATCTATCTTTCTATCTGACAGAAAAAGAGAGATTCAAATGGAAGAGTTAAGAATTACAGCAACCTGTTTGGGTATAGTTGAAGGAGAAAAATATAAAATAGATATTACAGATACAGAACAATTACTTCCTGGAAAAGACATATTATTTTTTCAGTTTTCTTAGGAATTAAATCCTTAACTCTAAGTGAAGCAATAAAGGCTAAGGAAAGTCCTCTGTCATAAAACAAGCAATAGGACCGATATGTCAGCCAAATGATGACAGGGCCTAGTTTGCAAATATTGTAGTGAATTTATTTCCCTGAATAAATGTGTGCTCTTGTGCAAAAAAAGGTAACTTTATAATAAATCTCTTTATTTTTAAGATGCAGCAAGGTTACTTATGTTGTGTTCATAAAAGATTAAGACAGTAATCTTTCTAGTAATAACTGATATACTAATATTGTTATTTAGAAACGGTCTGTATTTGTGGTGCCTTCTCAGAACGAAAAAATCAGCAGAGGCAAAGCTTTATGTATGTAGTCCATGCAGATACTTACAGGCTGAGGGGTAACTTTTGGTTCAGTCGATTTCACATGCAGGTGTGTCATCATTGCTTGCAGGCGGTCCTTGTCTTTTGCAAGCTGAACAGGAAAGAGAAATGTAAACATGACTTTTGTGAACATAATCATGAAGGGCTCTTCTCTATTTAAACCCTGGCATTGTAGCCAGCAAATGACAGAAAAAGTACATAGCATTACTTTCCTGTGATTTGAAAATATTATGAGGAGCCCACATCCCTCTCAGGCACTTCTTTAAAAGCAAAGCAAAACCTTTGGTGCTGAGTATCAGCTTTTTGCAAAAAAAACCCCATTGGAGCTCTTGACTGAAGCAGGTCTAGTCCTTCAGGCTCCAGGAGCGGTTGCTGAAGCAATGAGGGAGAAAATGAAGGAATTGCATTTACTAACCAACCTCAATGCTAAGAGATTCAGAACCAAGGTTTGTTGGCTTTAAAGGTTGTCCTCTCCTCTTTTTCTATAACATCCCACTCCATACGTGTTTGTTTTTTTTAAACTTGAATTGTATTCCCTCTATTAGATAGGTGAGGCTGACATGTAAAACGTTAAATGGATATTGTCAGCTTTAGGAAAGGAGAAAAGTAACCATCTACAGAAGGTAAATGTTTGTTCTCTTACAGAATAGATTTCACTTTGGAGAAGAAAAATCAACAAGCTTTCTTTTTCACATTTGCTTGAACAGCCAACAGGATACATCCTGGCCAAGCATATTTTTTGTTATTATATAAAGACAAGTTTTTTGTCTTTTACTACAGATTGGATGATACACATATTAAAACTGAATTGTAACTTATAAGCCAACTTGCATGGGTATATAAAATACAAATATCGCTCCAGCCACTGATAAAATTCTCTCCCACAGCAGCCTTTTCACTCTGTTGATGAAACATCCAGGCAGACATATATCCATATGATTCAAACCCTAATGTATTAGAGCAATGTAGCAGCCTCAATAAATAAATAAAAAAAGAAGTTGAAATATGAAGTTCTTTTTTTTTTTGGAGAGGTCTTTCAAAGTGCTTTACGTTTTTACAATCTCACAGGTTTTAAAGTGGTAGTTCATATGCCTAAACCATTTACAAAAACATAAAAATTACTTGATGACTCAACACTATTTAAAAAGCATTATTTCACTGTCTCTAGGGAGAGAGAGAGAGAGAGAAAAATGTGTTTCTGAAGAACCCTTACATTCCCCACCATTTAGCTTCTTGGATGAGAAGCGAAATGTTTTCAAGTGGGAAAAATCAAGAAAGTCTAGTTGCCTTTTGGAAAAGCACCTTTAGATTTCTGAAGAATTCTAAATTTTCCAAAGTCTCTGTGCAAAGATGGGAGTAATCAGTAATACTCAGTCAACAATATCAGCAAGTTTCTAATTCTTGCCATATTGAATAATTCAGGAAATTAATCAGGTCAAAAATCCAGCATGAAATGCTAATGTCTGTCTGTCTGTTTCTCTCTCTCCTTCTGTGTGTGTGTGTGTGTGTGTGTGTGTGTGTGTGTGTATATGGCATTCAGCTTTGTTCGGGTATTTTCCCACGTCATAGTAGTGGTGCTTTTAAAGTTGTAGCAACGTTTCGGCAGAATCTCATCTGCCATCATCAGACGAACACAATACAGAAGCCTGATGATGGCAGATGAGATTCTGCCAAAACGTTGCTACAACTTTAAAAGCACAACTACAATGACGTGGGAAAA